GACCTAAGTAAAGCCATTTTGGTATTTAGGCTGACCCTTAACCTAAAAGTCAGCAGGTCATAAAAAGTCACAAGATCCCACTCATGGAAGACCACAAGACCGGACTCCCTCTGGCAGTAAAAGTCATAGAGGCTGGACATTCTTAAAATTGCTCCCTGTGGGTAATTCCACAACCCTAAGACAACAGAGAAACTAACCGCTCGGTGTAAATGATAAACTTGAAGTTTAGGAATAAGCCCCTCCCGTATGTTAGCTGATTTTGAAAAACTTATAAAACCTTTCTTTAGAGGCGGAGGGGGGTCCTCTTCCTCACCTGGGAGGAGAGACGGCTGCTTTGTCCGGAGAGTAGCTCCCTTCTCACTTCTATGCTTGATACACCTTTGTCCCTTTCTCTAAATGGCTTGCCCTCTAATTTTTTCTCCGCAAAGCCAAGACCCCGCCTGGCGGGTGGCCTGAGACCCTCCCTCTGGGCTTCCACGGGCCTGCATCCAGTAGAAGAGACCAGAGACCGCGCCCGCTGTGTGACAGACTGCATCCAGGGAGGGGCCTAGAGGGGGAGCCCGTGGGTACGGGACTCCCGGGTTGGGGTGGGGTGTGGTGCGTGTCCTGTCAAAGAACCGGGATGAGGCCTCATCCGTAAAGGAGTGCTGCATGAACTTGGGACTGCTCAACACCGAGCTGAGGAGTTAGACCTTAGGAGCAGTCTCGCAAGCGGCGAGAACTGAGTCTTTGTAAATATATCAGTAAATATTTACACCTATCACCACCATCCCTAGGAGACCTTGTGTAAAGGCAGATATTTCTGTCACTGATTATCTAAGGACAGTTTAGGCTACAGACTTCAAGCAGGGGCAACCTGGGTTCTGGTGCTGGCTTTGTCACTAGCCAGCTGTGTGACTTTCGAAGAGTCCACTAATCTCTCTAGACCTGTTTCTTCAAACATAAAGGATTGGGCAAGAGGATCTCTTCAGATTCTTTCTGACTCTAAAATTCTAAGGCTCTATGATTGAACAAACATTTTATTTATGGACTACAAATAGCCAAACCCTGTGTTGGTTGCTATGGGGAAGGGGAGGGGCGGTTGAGAATAAGGAAGAATGCGCTTAGTCCGGTGGAGGTAAAATATAAACGTATAAAATGTTTAAATTACAATGAAATACTCAATAACTTGTACCAACATGAATTTAGAGTGCAAACATATGCACTGAGTGGAGATTAGTTCATCTGGAAGTGAAGAGTTCCCGATCCTAAAGTAGAGGGGTGGCTGGAATCAGGTAACCTAAGCCAGACCCCTGAAAGGCCTCACCACAGCCCCTGAACAGGAGGAAGAACCCCCACTGTTTTGGACAAAACAAGACAAAGGCAAAGCTAGCCAGTGCCTCAGGATCTATACATAAGGCTAGTTTGGAGCCTTGTTATTTTGCATTAAAAAAATATATTTCTATTTTCCCCCTATTTGTATGTGGTGTGTTTCTCATTTTCCCCATCCACACTACAGAGCTGGATCCTCATCTATTTCTGTTCTGCAGTAACAGAAAAGAATGGAGAAAAGTTTCCAAGACATTATAAAGGAAGAATTGATAGGATTTGATGATTAATTGGGAGGGTGAAAACTAAGGAGGAGAATTTAACAAAGGTAGTTCAAATGTTTTAACCTGACAGGGAAAATCCTGCACTAAGCAGGTGAAGTTGGGAGGGAAGGGAGCTGATTTTAAGGGGAAAATACTGAGGCTGTTTTTAATGTGCTAAATTTGCAATGAAATCTGGATGGTGGCAGTAGTAAGGAGTGGGGAGATGAGTCTTGGCACTTCATAATCTCCCCTCCTTTGGTATGGACAATGGACATTTATCTGATCCTGTTGTGTAAACACAGCTTCAAATCTCCTTCCAACCAGCACCTCCTATAGAGAAATTAGGGAGCCCCTTTTGGGTCAAGACATCCTGTGGAAATGGTTGGAATACCATTTTGCCGCCTCTTGGGAGCTGTTGTGTCCCTTTATTTAAAAAATAGATTTATCCAAATGTGAGAATTTAATGCCCAAAGAGGAACCAGTAAGGAGATGTAGAAGGCAGCAGCACTCAGCAAACAGGACAGCCATCCCTTCAGTACCTAAGCAGACAGAATTGGAAGATGTTTAGACCCATATAAAAACAGGCTCGTAGGTTCAGTTCAACCCGATAGTCACTCATGAGAACCCATCTGGTGCAGACTTTTCTTTCTCTTGTAAGCCATTTCACAATGTGCTTTATCCTCACATACAAAGGAGGGGATGGATGGGGAGGGAGCTACATTTTCCAGGGTGTAAAAAGTTGTAATCATGCACTCCACAAAGAGTAATCCCACTTACCTGACCGCAAAACATTTCAGTCAAATAAACTTTTCTTCCCCCTAGCGCTGTGTAGTCTAAGTACTTTGGTAGCTAGACTGATACTTATCCTTTTTCAGCTGATAGCCCTTGCACAGTGTTAACACAGCCACAAGTGGGTTAAAATAAAAGAAAGCCATGGAATTACTCACCAACAACCCTGGAGGTTGTGGCCCCTAGTTGAATAAAATGGTTTGGCTTCTTCTTCCTAAATCTTGAGAACTCTCCTGATAATTTGCTTAGTATCCAAACTGACTAAACTCAGCATACTTTAAAGATGAGAGAATAATGCTCCTTTTGGAAAGAGACTGCCAATTTGAGTGAAAAATCAAATGTGTAACACAAACTGCAATCTCAAAGCCCTCTAAAGACCTCATCCTGCTCTCAATGCCAAGCTCCTCCAACCTGCAAATTATCAATCCAAAATGTAGCTTGGTTGCAAAGGATTCTTGCAAAAAAAACAAAAACAAAACAAAACAAAAAAAAACCCACAAAAAAACCAACAACCACCCTGCTAAATACTAACACACCTCTGAATCTTGCTTATCAAAAATCATGACTGCAAGCATGGAAAAGAAGAAAACCAGATTACATTTGACTTTAGTTAACAGTAAATCACATCTAATGTTCAATCTTAAAGCAAAAATGATGGGGGGAATGGATCTGTTTGGTTTTTTGTTTGTTTTGGAACGTACGTGATTAATTATTACAAATACACGGTAAAATCTCTAGCAACAACACGAGGGCCAGGGTTTGAATTTTAGCGGCTCCCCGAGGGAACAGGCAGTAGAAAAAAGAATAAACAAGTAACAATGTAAGAATAAAGCCCAGAAACATCACAAAAGGGCTCAGAGGTATAAGGGAAACCATATGAAAGAAAGGGTCAGAGCAGGAAACCCTATGAGGAAGCAAAGGGGAAACAGGAACAGCTAGACTAGAATGTACATTGAGAAGCCCAGGACAATCGCTGAGCTTTTTGTACTTGGATAAGCTAAAGAAAGGCAGGTAAGAGTGAATAGCAAGGGAAAGAAAACTGGACCAAAGTTTCTGGGAGACTGAAAACTGGATCAAAGTTCTCCAGTCATGCCTGGAAATTAAATCTAGAAATAAAGGCAGTGACACCTATATGGAAAGCCTCATTAAAGACATTTGTGAATGTCTTATTATGCCAGAAATTGTTGAAGGCTCAGGTAGTCAGTTTTAAGGTATAGATGGAATATACCCATTCTCTTTAGCCTTTCTACGCTAGGGACTGGAGATTGAAATTAAAGTACAAAGAACAGAAGTTAAAAAAAATTTTTTTTTAACTTAAAGACATTTTTCTATGACTCTCTCCATTACTTGTCTATGAAGATGATGCTGACCAGTGGGGCATCTTGAAAGGATCACACGCCTTATGAGTTTTAGAAAGGTCAAGGAACTGGTCCTTAAAAGTTACTGTGTGATTAGGCCTTACTTTCTACATCTTTTCAGTGAGTGGTTGAAAGAGATGGCCTCTTCACGGGAGTTAGGAAATGAGTTAAGGGAGATGCTGAAGCCTGGCTGACACTCTCAGATGGGCCCTTTCAGGTTACCTGGTATTTAGCACCACCAAGAATCCAGGACTGAATTTTCAACTTGCATATTCAGACACTGCATTTTTATCATTTC